TAGTTGTTTGTTAGTGTATTTGAACATCACGGATATCGATATCAGTGATATCAATGGGTATGACATACAATCTCTCCGGTACGCTTGACGGTTTCACCCTCCTTGACGAGACGGTCGGAACCGAACAACACAACACCGACTTGGCCGGCTTCAAGGTTCATGCACATACCCTTGACACCAGAAGCGAACCTGTTGGATAGTTAGCCTTATTAACGGTAAAATAAGTAATGTGGGTATCCGTACTCAACCAGCTCCTCAGCCTGGACGTTGGTCATACCGTGAACACGGGCAATACCGTCACTATTTGATTAAAATCGAGTCAGCTAATGATGCTCTAAGATATTGTTGCGGATTCCAGACGGTTTGCGGTGTTTTTTCAGCGATATCGCAGCCGACACCAAAATTTTCATCCGGTAAAAGCGACAACGTACCCGACGGAAAGGACACGTCCAGTCTCAGCAAGACCGGATTCCTCCTGAACACCACGGATTCTCTGCTCGAGGATGGAAGAGACCTCGGTGGGCGAAGCCTTGGCCTCAGCGGCATAGGTACGGACCTGCTTGGAGGCAGCAGAGAGGGGGCCGGGAACAGCCGCGCGAACCTGTTGACCGAAGCAAACTCTGTTAGCTTCGACGAAGCGCAACCACAACGCGTGAATGTGTTATAGAACGGAGGGTAATGCCGAGAGATGCGATTGCCATTCTCATTGAGATGACTTTCGGATGGGAAACGGGCAAATTGAGTCGTCGTCGTCGACCTCGACAGGGATAGAACTCACCGAGGCGACTCTGCCAGTGGCAGAGGCAGCCGCGACGGCGCGGCTAGACTGCCGCAGAGCGTTCCTGAACATTGTGAAAAGGGTTCAGAGGAGAGGGAGAAAGGTTTCTCTGAAGAAGAGATGTAATTGGGGGAAGAGGTGAGAGGAGAGGAGGAGTGTGGATGGATGGAAGGAGAGCTTTGTCGTCGGGGTTGGGAGGATTCTCAGGACTGGGACTAAGCCTATTTTTGCCGAGTGCCCAGCAACCTCCGAACCCGCCCTAGTGCGCTCACGGGACACCCCAAGAAAATGACTTCCAACGGGTCGAGCTACGATACAACCACATGGCTCTTTTTAAATTATTAATTTTTTCAGAAAGTTATTCTAACTCTATTTATCGAGGAACTTTTCTACGCAGACTTTCCCAAATACTTGGGGTGTTCTCGTTGCTGGTCGGGAGGTTTCCCGGGCCGGACAGCTGGCAGTCCCAGTTTTTCCCTTCTGGTCACCGTGTTTGTATTTTTCGGATCGCCGGATATTCATCGTAACAGCTTAGTCATTTCCTCCGCTCCTGCAACCACGGCAATAGGCAATGAAGAGCACGGACGACAAACAACAATTAGGAGCAGCATTTCTCAAAAGTGAAGTCCAATATTAATATTCTATTACTATAAATACGATCGCTTCTTGAGGTGTTGAATAGGACCCTCTTGGTTGGTTTCCGTCACTCGATTATTGCTTCCCCCATTCTCGAGTCCTTCCCTCGGGTCCTTCCACCTAAGTTTCATTTCGCCAAGTTCCCGCGTGAGGTTGACATCACCATCCGCTAGTAGCTAACTAGGTAACTGCTTTCTGCATCCTCGACATCTTGAAACAAAGTATAATATCAAGATGGGGTTTTCAATATTGAATATCCAGGCGATGCGGCGGTTATGCAATTGATGCAATTTATGCAGTTAAGCTGCACAGCAATCAAACCAGTTCCGAACAGCCATCTCAATTCGGCGTAATCACAACGCTTCATGCAAACAGCGGCTCATGAATCCTATCATAAAAATAATTAGACCAAGAATGGCTATACAAAACCCCTTATCCCTTAACTCTCTGTGCCTATCATTTCGCGGCTTTGTTCTTCTTGTCCTTGAACGCTGCGATCTCCTTCTGCACACTAGCATCATATCGTGCCTTCAACTCAGGGCGGTAGCCGAAGAAGAAGAGAATCTCCATCCAGACGAAGAGGGGGGCAAGGAGCAAAGCCTGGACCAAGTTATCGAGCAGAGCTGGAGCACGACCCTCAAAGGCACCGTGACCGACAAACTGCAACAGCCAGGAGACGACATGGATCCCGCCAAACCAGTAGTTGGCCGTCATTCCGTATGTAGCTAGAATGTGGTTGCTAAATGCCGCGCCCCCGATCAGGAGCGGTGCGATTAAAGATCCTGCCACGGGCTCTAAAAGTATATAAAAAGCGGTATAAATGAGTGCTCCGATCGTTCCGACGTTGGGCGGTAGGTTTTCGATCTGAAGGACTTCAGGTAGCTTGAAGAGAGGGGGCGAATTCGATGCCTAGATGTTGAAAGCAAGATCTTATTAGACTGGCATGATCTGGTTCGAGTACAGCTGTATTCGAGAAGCATACCATCGCGATCCCGGTGAACAGCAGTATTGGCACACATGTTATATGAATTGCAACGTTTACCTAGACCAGTCAGTCAAGGCTTCGCCGTGATGAAGGGAGGGGGGAAACGAACTGGATTGTTGTGGTATGCGCCGTACTATGGGTCGACGTGAGCAAATCCCCCATGGCTTCAAGACCATTCATAAGGACTTACAAACAGGAGCTGCTTCTCAAGGTTCAAAGCCATCTTGAAGCTGGTGAAAGTGAACAAAGGCACGCTAAGAGTCAAGGTGTATGGGATAAGAAAAGAGGAAGCCCGAGTCCCCGCAGAGTAATGTCTTACAGGGTAAAAGTCATCGTATGAGCCAACTCCAGGGAATAATAATCAAAAGATCATTGCACAAACGTCATGTGCAGGCCGAGGTACTGCATACTAGGAATGAGGCTGGTATTACTGTGACATACTAAAATGCGGAAATTCCGCAAATTGGAGCGCAGCTCGCCGTATCGTATTGTATTGAGCGGATAAAGGACTATCAATGTCAGGTGACCATCCGGAGCTTGTTGAGTGGGATCGGGCCAGACGAGGCTTCATGGGAGCTTTGTTGCTGGATTTGCTGGTTCTTTCAACAAAAAGTAACCTCTGTGGAGGATTTTCTGGTCGCGACTGATACCTCGACCGTGCGCTCCTTTCTTTGAAATTATAATTTTACTGTTCTCGTTCTACGAGCGGCCATGAAGTATTGATTTTTCTGTCGTTAATCGTTTTGTGCCAGCAATTCCAGTCATTATCCCAGCGCAACTCGCTACTGCGACACAGCGTATCTCCTCGAGGTGCGCTGTTGGAACTTTCCCACCGCGTCTACCAACTTTGAAGTCGACTTTGCAACAGTTCTAGCCTCCGATCTCGGCTTAACTGGCCGCCGAATCCAACAAGTCGTCGCCATGTTTTTTCTTAAGGAAGAGACAAAAGTGATCTCATTACATCCGTCGTACTTCGGTCCAAATGTGCGCGAATATCTCATCAATCGCTTAAACGAGGAAGAAGAGGGGCGGTGTACCGGAGACCACTTTGTGATATGTGTCATGGACATGGTGGACATCGGCGAGGGGCGAGTGCTCCCGAGTAACGGGCAGGCTGAATACACAATTAAATATCGGGCAATTATCTGGAAGCCCTTCCGCGGGGAGACAGTATGTATTAGACTGGTCAACCATAAACCAGGTCTAACAATATCTCTAGGTCGATGCTTCTGTCACGTCAGTGAAGCCCACAGGGATTTTCACCCTGGCCGGCCCATTGTCGGTCTTCATTGCGCGCAAAGTACGTTATCCTTGGTGAATATTACAGTTGCCGTTTCGCTCGATGCTAACGGGCCTGCAAGAATATTCCCTCCGACATAAAATGGGAGCCGAACACAGTGCCACCACAATACACGGATCATGCGGACCAGGTCATCGAGAAGGGCACCAACCTTCGACTTAAGATTCTTGGTGTCAAGCCGGACGTTGCTGCTATCAATGCGATTGGGACGATCAAGGAAGATTACCTAGGGTGGGTTTTGCTTCGCGCCTGGTGTCTTAAATCACTACTAACGGACGCCGCCCTCTTCTCACAGACCGCTATAACAACACGAATATTTCGCGTTTATGACGATAACGATAAATTAAAACAATCCCACGAAATAGCGCCGTTCAGCTTTCTGTTTTATTCGCAAATACCACACTTATCGGGCCGCAAAAGCTGTCCCTCAAGTTGCTCGACAGGATCATGTGAGACTGGGTTTTGGCCAGACAGGGATAGGATGGAAGAGTTGCAAGCCATACTCTCTTCTTTCGCGGGCCCCATGACGAAGTGAGGACTGCCAATTATTGCAGCAAAAGCGATCTTGTTTTGGCCGGTGCAGATCTATTCGCGGGTACCCCACTGGGGTAGTACGTACAGAGTAGAGCGGTGCTTATGAGCAATGGCTATCTAGAGGGCAATATACAGATACACAATAAGATTGGAGACTGGATGGAATGAAGTCGAAAGCGTCTTCTATAGAGCACAACAATAACAATTTTTATTATTATGGTTGTTCTCATTTTATTCGCAGTTGCCTGAGAGACGCGGCTTAGGGACGGGCGTAGTGGTGAAACACTGGTGCGTCCGGCGCATGTGGAATCCCCAGTCCTGGGGCTTCCTTGGCCGATATTTGGGTAATTATCACGGGAACTCTGAAGAACCGGCCTCTCTATCATTTCCCATTGTTATTATGATTGACCCAGGCCTGGAGCGTCGCCCAGCACAGCCGAATAACCGGGAGGTTCGTGTGTTCAACTGGCAAAGTCTCCCTGGTCCTTCCTCTCTTAAAACTCAATAAAGGAAGCCAGAGACAACATTCAACAAATTCCAGACCCTCGTTATCTCACTGCAAGGACTCATTCCTGCATTCTTCTGTGTCTTCCCCAGACACTGTGGTCCTTCTAATAATAATAATATCGCGCTTGGGCGGCGGCTGTCAAACCGTGGTTCGTGGCTTGCTCAACCAAACAAACCGTTCCCCTCCTTGATCTCTGAACCGCAATCCCTTTTATTTACTTTCTTTTTCTCTTTCCCTACTCGAACTCCTCAATTTCGCAATGTCTCTCAAGGACGTGTACCAGAGATTCCTGGCTGCGCCTAACCCAGCGTCCCTTGCCTCTGATGTGTCCCTGATCTATATCACCTCCACCACCGAGTTCAAGGGAGCCGACAGTGTGACCAAACACCTCACCAAACAGCAGGAAATCAAGATCAACTCTCAAACTATCATTGATTCTGTACAAGGTTCTAACGCGCTCTCTCTGGATGTCGACACTTCTCTTCAATTCCTTACTGGAGGTGGAGCCTATCTTCCTAATCTGGATGAGACGTTCTTGTTCGATCGCGTCGTGAAGTTCCCCACGGTGGGCGCTCCCCATGACCAAAAATTCTCCGATGAGTAGACTACTGTACTAATGCCAATCATTCTGCTTGTAGATCCATATCGTCCGTTTCAATGCCCAGACTCAAATCCAAAGCGTCAGAATCCATTGGGACCAGGCCTCCCTCTTAAAGCAAGTCGAAGTCATTGGAAACCGCGCTCGTAACTGGCCTGTTCGCGACGCGGACAAGCAGACTCGCCTGATCAAGGTCGCATCCTCATCGGCTCCCGCAGACAATGGACCTCCTCCAGTAGCCCAGACTGAGCCTTCATTCACCGCGAAAGAGGGTCAGGATGATGCTCCCGCAGCGCCCCCTTCTCCCGGAAAGAAACGCATCAAGGATCCCTATGCAGCCGACTCACTTTTCGAGCTACTTTCACCCAGCAAAAACCGCGAACAGCATGTGCAGCCTCCTCGCGCCCCTGCCTCCGCCAAACCCCCACCTCGTAATTACAATGAGCTCTTTGTCGGTGACGAGGAGAATGATGACGCTCCTGATGCGACTCCCTCGCGACCGCGTGCCGTCCCTCCCAAGATCGGCGCAGGCAAGAACTTCCGCCCATCGCGTATCTTCGAGCCCGAAGAGGTCGATAACTTGAAGGAGGAAGCCGCAGTCGCCCCTAAAGTCGGCGCCGGGAAGAACTTCGGTCCATCTCGCATCTTCGATGACGATGAGACAGTCGCTCGTGAGAAGCCGGAGCAGATTGCCTACCGCGCGCACCCGAAGCGCTTCGAACACTTCGAGCTGGGTGGTGACAATAGCAGCCGTGAAATCAAGGCACCTGCCTCACGCCCAGGCTCCCGCCACGTCAACAACTGGGATTTTGAAGACTTCTCGACCCCACAGAAGCCGCAACGCAAACCCCGAGGTGAAGAAGTCCGTCATTTTGGTTGGAGTGACGATGAGCCTGAGCAGGATTCACCGCCAGCCAAGCCCCGCGTTTTGCAGCCCCGACGTGACGCCGAGACTCATTTCCAGATCACAGACGGCGACGAAGAGCAGGGTAACAAGCGCATTATCAAATCATATCAAAACAAGGGATTAGGGCTCTATAAGAACACCTTGTACGGCGAAGCAGATGAGGTTGAGGCCGAGGAGGACACTAAAAAGCAAACCAGCAAAGAGCGCCCTCTTTCTGTCGTGCACAACGGGCCCAACCGCAAGAAGGACTTCGAACCCCACTGGGAGGTAACAGACGAACCTCAGGAAACCGAAGGCGATGTCAGCCACGAGAACAAGAAGCCCTCCGAGGATCGAGTCAAAGCCGTGAAGATGATGGAGCCATCCTGGAATCCCTACGGTAGTAGAACCCCTGAGCCAAACAAGGCCGCTACACCCCCACAGCGTCGGGTCTTACACAACGTGAACCAGAAAAGCTGGGGCTTTGGTGAGGAAGAATAAACCCAGTCCCGCGCCGGGATGAGCAAGAAGTCCAGCAGAAGCCGATGACAACCTGGAAAAAGAAACAGTATAAACGCTCACGAAAAAAACCGGAAGATACTGAACGGCTGGTTAAGTAATTGGTCCACGCCCGCATGGATATATGACTATCATTGATATACTACGTACCTATGTTTCTTTTTCTAACTCTCGGCGGCCTTTGTTTTCGTACCTTTTTGTTGCAAGATCCTACTTACTGCTATGAGTTTGTCGGTCTACGCGTACACGCCTTGTATTTCTTTTCCTGTGCCATTCAATTATTTCCCCTTTCCTGTACGAGTTTCAGTCTCTCGCTGACTTGATATTCTTGTCTTTTTATCGCCTGATACTCCGTTCGTATTTACTTTATGCTTCCTTATTGTGCAAGAATGCCATACCCAATTTTATGATTACTTTGTGCTTTAGTGTTGGTAATATAAACGCACGATTGCAAAAGAAAAATAAAATAAGAAAATAGGAAAATAAGAAGAATTGATAAATCACACAAAGCTTACGGCGTACACTGTTGTACCGATAATTGTGTTTGGCTATTTAATGTGTACATGGGTGGGACTTAAGGTCAGGAATGAATATATATATATCCGGCCAACAAATTGCCATTCTGATACCAAACCCACTAATCTAATCTACCTCGCTTGCTTACAGTAGGTATTTAATACTCGGACAGGAAAAAAGCAAACAAAGCAAGAATCCAAACTTCCAAAGTCCATAAAATTCCGAGCATACATCCAAGAATGCTGAGAATGGCGAAAAGCAAATACTAGTATTACTAACCCAACTCAAATAGCATGATGAATCCGGAAAAGAAAGGACGACAGCGCGATCGCCTGTTCTAGATGTAGAACATCGTATCCCTAACATTCGGATGGATCGAAACGTCCGAACCCTCAACAGTGACGCCGGGTTCTTCGCCGCCGATGACACTACCGCTGGGGGTTTCTGGTTCAAACGCACGACTTAGGTAGCACCGGGCACGGGTGCAGACTAGGTCGGCGTAATAGGCTGGCGGACAGATGCTGACGGCCTTGGTTGCTCTGCCGAATAGGTAGCACATGTGGTGGGTCATTGCCTCGAGGATGTCAGCTGTGTTTTGCGCGGGAAGCGCTGGCTTCAGGTTGAGGAAGATTTCGTCCCACACGGTGTAGTAGTGTGCTGGGCGCGCAGTTCCCTTGAGTGCAGTATGAGCCTGGAGGAAGAAGTCCCAGTTGCGAGCTTCCGTGACACCGCGATCGACGACTGTGCCGTGAATGGGGTTGTTGGAACGGTCAGCATCGTCCTGGCGGGTCGGATAGAAGCGGGTATGGTGACGCTTGCCGACAATGATTATTGAGAATCGAGGTAGGTTCTTTGCTGTTAAAGAGGCCGGGTAAACTGCCCTGCAGGCTGATTTAAGGAGGGGCAGTTCCTTGCTTGTAACAAGGTCGTACTGGCCCTCTGAGACACCATCGCGGTAGACGATAATGTTCTCCGGGTACGCATCTTTGTGGTTATTCTTCCAGCGGCGGAGATGTTCCTTGAGCATGGAGTCGAGAGAATCGACCATCTCGTTGCGAGCTTCATTTTGGATGCGGATTTCTGCTGGCCATTGTCCGAGAGAGGAGTCGACAGAGGCGACCATGGCTGCGACACTGGGCGCACCTTTGGCGGAGCCGGGGGACGGGTGAGTGACATCAATACCGAGGAGCATTGTCTTGCCTTCACCAATTATTCCCAACTGGTTCGGTTTAACAACTTGATTCACACCCCCGAGCTTGAGGTTAAATTTCAAGCCGACATTCGCGAAGTATTGTTCGTTGCATCCTTTGAAACGTTCGGCGAGGACATTGACATTGCGCACTCCATGATGGATGTCACAGGCCTGTTTAACGCAATTGTAGATTTCAGTGTCATTAAATGGGAGAATTGTCAATATCAATTTCGGGTTATATTTGTTCATCAGGTCACCAATCTTATTGTTGATATCCCTTTCATAGCTTTCGCGCTTCAATGTAACGCGGGCGCCTGGCAGCGGGGGGTTTGCCTTGACTCCAACTTCGTTAAGTTTCGATGTGAACTTGGAAATACAGTTTTCCAGCTCTTCCTGGTTGGCAAAGTGAGACATGGTTTGGGGTGTGATATAGATCCAAGTCCAGGTCGAGAGGTTAGAGGTGGTCGAGAACTTGATCGACTTCATGTTCCAGCTGCCACCAATAGTATCGATCCGCTTATCCTTGGACGATTTGATGTCCTTGTAATGCACACTGGGTGGCGGAAGAACGCGTCCTGGGACTGTGATTAGACTCGGGTTGGTTTGTATACCAAATTCCGCCTGCTCACATCAAAGGCATTAGCAAGGTATCCTGCGCTGGGTGGGTGAGAAATATACGTACCAGAGTGGCGTTGACCGGGTCCCCAAGTCCCAGTGTTCCCAACCCTTTTGTAACAATCGACGAAGCATTTTGTGCTGGGGATCGAACCGCAAATTTCAACATTTCTCTTGTCTGGTTGGGTGAAAGCTTTGCCTTTGCTGGTTGGCCAGCCTCGACTTCACAGACTTCTACTGGGAGGTACAACGGCTTCGCTATGGATCCCACATTCACAACCGGTATATTCTTGTCTACTTGGACATTGTAGTCTTCAGTGGCAGTGGTTAGACCTGTTTTCGAAAGGGAAAAAATTGCATATAGGGTGCTTACTTCGCTGAAAGAACTCCGCAACAGTGATGTACGACCCTGACGGTTCGGGGCCAGCCGGCTTCTTGCCCTTCTTGCTCTTAGAGCTGGTCTGTTGACTCGATTGACCTGGTGCATCCAAAAAGAACTGGACATCATTCGGACCTGCACCCAAAGATTTGATTCTTGGCGGGTTCGGAAGTGCGAGTCCATCTTGGGGAGTTGCCAAATTGATAATGGTCTTCATCCTTGGAATGACTATTCCTTTTTTGTTTCTTCTTTCGATGTGGGTTACGCGGACTCTGAGTTGGTAGAGAAACTTTTTCAAGTCGTAAATGTCCCTCTTGCTTGCGAGTGGGAATTGGCGGATAACATGGCGGATGACATGGCCTAGGGGGCCATCTTCGTAGCAAGCGACGTATTTCACCTGAACATTTACCAGTATACGAGCTGTCGCAGCACGAACGCTCACAAAATACCCCCGAAGAGCTTCGAGCCCGGCACCCAAATTGAACTTCTCCGCAGCACCATCCTGGATTGCGTAGTGCTTGTTGGCACCATGAGAAGCAATGGACGTAGAGGATTTGGCGTAATGGCCGGCAGCGATATTCAGTGCTTGCAGGATGTCGGCCTTATCTTCGAACATCTGAGCTGCATTGGAGGAAGTCAGGTAGTTGAGAAGTGCTGTAGGGTCAACCTGACCGGTGAACTTGAGGGTAACACGATATTTTTCTACCTTCCTCAGCGGCTCATCCTCATGCTCGCCCCGGTAGATGATATCGAAAGTAACTGGTTCTTGTGGCTGACTCAAGATCTCTAGATATGAAATCATAGTTGACCTATAGTCAGTTACAATACTGGAGTGGACCTGCGGAAAGTGCTCCTCAAGCAGCAGATGGATAATCTGTTTTGCTTTTTTAGGCCCGGGATTGCGGCCTGATCCAGCATCAATGTCGATACTGTAACGATACATGGTTTTTCCAACAGACTTTAGTTCGAAATAGTTGGCAAACAGCTGGATTTCTCGTCCTTGCGTACCATAGCCGGGACGCTCGGGATATCCAATCGATTTCTTATTTTTTGCGAGGGCTGCTGCCAGAGCATCTTCTGTCTGTGTGATCTTGCTGCTCGGTGATGGGACGCCTCCGGCAGGGCTGGTTACCATAGAAGCGTGCGTCAGTCAATCCGAACCGCTGAGTAACCTGAAGAAAGTGACATACTTGAAGATAGGGGGACCTTGATCAAAATGGCCACCTCGGCCACCACCACGGCCACCGCGACCACCACGACCTCTGAAGCCGCCTCTGCTAGAGTCGTCTTGCGCTGGACGATATGGTAGATCGTGGGAGGAGCCACGACCTCGGCCACGTCCACCTCCACGGTCTGCTCCACGATCAGCTCCACGACCAGGGCTTCCACGTCCTCTCCCACCGCGGCCTCTGTTTTCACCCGGCCCTTTACCACGGTCGTTACCCCTTCCGCGGCCGCCGCCCCGCTGGGGTGGGCCTCCGCCGCTCGACATGATAGCTTTTGGGTGTTAGGGCGAGAAGAAAGTGGCTCGCTGTTTGCCTGACCCGAATTATAATAAAACTAGACGAAACTAGGGTAAAAAATAAAATGGGCACTAAACGCTGAAGATGAGGTTCGAGAATAATGTGGGGTGGAAGGGAATCTTAAATGTTTACAGTGTAGCTCGACCTCCACCACAAGGCTGGAGCTTTCTTTACCGCCGTGGGGAAAATATATGCTTCTGTTTGTACGATTTCCATTGGCAAACACTGAGACTCAATTGGTTGAGTGCATTCTTTCGCCTTCCTGGAGCATGGGCTTTGACCGACCGATCAAAACCGTAGGCTAAGAATGTTTGACAGAGTGCCTGGTCGGAAGCGAGGATGGATGAACAAGAAGGTGATTAATTGGGTCAGCAACTGAGATGCAGAGAGCACGCGGCGCCTGGGCAAATGTTGGGAAAGCCCAAGGCTGACGTTTGCTCCCAACAATTGGGCTGGAACAGAGAATAATAATGACGAAGCAAGGCTGTTTGTCTCCGGCGAGTTGTTGCGTTTTGATCGGTGGACCTCACTTCTGAGCCTTGGAAGCCCACTTCAACACCTCGCCAATCAATCGGTTAGGTACTGTAGATAGAAGGTCCTATTTGACCTTTGGCCGTCTCGGGTCATTGAAATGCGATGCTTGTCGATGATTTTATTGTCGCAAGACAGATGGGAGAAATGACAGCTCATGCGTAGACTCACTATTTGAATGCTGGGTGATGTATTGAATAGGCAAAAGGCACTGGGGTGATTAAGG